TTGGGGGGGGGGCAGCAAAACCATTGACCTCACTCATTGTCACTCTCCTCCAGGAGAAGCAGCTGTTGCGTGGTCAACTGCTGCTCCGCACGCTTCTTGGCACTACTCGGCCCCTCCGCCGTCTTCGCAAACGGACTGGTCACGATGGGCGGCAGTCGCAAGGAGGCGGTGTTGCTGTGGTCATCCAAAAAACGCCCATTGGCGTTATCAAACTGCATCGTCAATGTTTGTCCAGGCGGCGTTGAGGCGTCTTCCACCGCCTCTTGCCTTTCCTCACTTTCCCCTGCTACCACTGCTGCTGTTGGGTTGCTTGCTGGGAGTGGAACTTCAAACGGCGACATCTCCGTGACCTCGCCGAGGAGGATGCACTGAATGATCCACTCCACTGACACCACTGGCACAGCAGCAAGCCCACTCCGTACTCGCTGCGCAACGACACGCCGCAGAACGTCGTGCGACGGGTGGCGCGACACACACTCGCCATCGCTCAGCGCCGTTCGGTACGTCAGTGCGAGCGACTGCGTCTCCAGTGCAGAGGCAACTTCCTCCATCGGCAGCTCGGCTCTGCGCTGCGTCCTTCGCCTCTTCGCGCTCGCCGTTCCGCTGCCTTCTGCACCTTCCTCTGCCTCTTCTTCTGTGACGGCGCCGTATCCAAGGTCAATAATAACCGACAGCTTCACACTAAGCGCGCTACGCGAGACGGTGCCGCCGAGAATGCGAACCAGCTCCATGAACTGATCGGCGTGGGCCAGCGGGGAGTGACTGACGAAGGCGAACACCATGCCAAGAAAGATGGGGCGGTATTGCGGTCCAACATCCTTCTCGAGAATACCAACAAGCTTGTCGAAGAACTCGGCATCTTTCTTCGTTGGGTGCGGCACCACACCACGAGAGGCCTCCCCACCACTGAGTGGCCCACCTTGACTGTTGCTTTCGCTGCTGCTCTTATTATTGTAAAGGGGGTGTAGGTGGTCGGGTATGATCTTCGGTATAGCACCCAGTGCAATGGCGTCGTATAGCCACTGCGGCGTCAGCACAGGGATGCCGAGTGCCTTTGCAAGCAGCACCATCGGCGTCAACTCGCCACGCCCCTCCACGACAAGATGGGTCGGCTTCTGGACGCGGCCAAACACACGCGGAACACATGTTGCGCCCAATTGCTCCACCACGTCCCAGAGGAACTGCATGACACCTTCTTCCTCACCAGACACGGCGATGCGGAGGGGCGGCGGCGGCGACGACGAAGATGACGACGGAAACAACGGGGAGATGAGGCGAGCGTCCGTGAAAGTCATAGCAAATGACTCTGTCTCATCGGCCTCGCGTTCCTGCTTGCGCCTTTTGTCTCGTGCCACTGCGGAGTCCGTGTATTCGCTCGATGTTCGCTCGCTTCCATTTGTCCTTCTTGCTGCTCTGCCTGCTGGCGTCGAGTCGGCCTGCGTCTTCACCGACAGGCGGCGATTGGAGGTAGCGACCTCCCTACTCAGTCTGCCACCGCCACTGCCGCGTGCTCGCTTTGCGCCCTCGCGCTGAAGCTTTTTTACACCCTCGACGGCTGTCGATGGACCCACACCAGACGCAGGAGCCTTGCCTTTGCTGCTGCCTCTGTTCTTGTCGGCCACCTTGCTGAGAGAAAGCTGTTGTGTGCTCGCTCCCGCGTCCTCGTGGGCCATCGGCACCGTATTCTCTTCGTCATCCAACACGGAGGACATTGCTGTGCGTACCTGTCTCGCACCGCCATCGCCAGAGGAACTCGGACCTATCACTGGCTCTTCCTGGTTGCCATCCTCCTCCTCCTCCTCATCACCATCATCAAGGTACGGAACCTCCGACAGTGCCAATGTCGTTGCAGAGGCCATCCTGGATTTCGCTTCCTCCTCTCTGCTGTTATGCTTGCTCTTAGAGGGCGCTGGTGCTGTGTTCTTCTTGTGCTGCGTCTGCTGTTGTGTGCTTCTTGTACTGCTCGGGTCGACAGCCCGTGCCGCTTTTCTCGTCGACTTGACGACCCGCTGCGGATCAACAGCGTGGCGGGCTCTTGCTGAAGCAACAAGAAACCCATCCACTGGCAGCCGTGCCACGCTGGCAACACACGCTTGCAAGTACGCCGGCGTCACCACCGTTTTTCCATGCGCCACCGCATTCTCCAGCAGTGATTCATTCCCGAAGTGAAACACGATGATATCTGCTGTGTTTTCAGAGAGGGTCAGTGAAGCTCCAAGTGTGCGGAGCGCCTTCTTCGCGTAGTGCTTCGTTCTATCACCCCCATCATCATTGCCGTGGTCACGTATGTGGAGGAACACCTTCACGCCCGCCAAAGGCGCCGCCGCCGCTGCTGCTGCTGCTGTTGTTGTTGTTGTTGCATCAGCCGGTGTTGCCAGGGCCGAGGAGGACATACGCCACCACACACGTGTAGCAATGAGGTGTGCAAACGGCAGCCGGTCCTCTCAGACGCCTCTGCGACAGCCGCGCCGAGCAGAATGCAAGTGGTGGTTGTCCCTGTGAAGTGCGACTACATGGGGGAAACAACAACCGCAACGACAGAGGAAGGAACAACAACAACAACAAAATACGAGAACAGATGCAGCACAGGGAACAAGCAACAAAGAGAAACAACAGAGGGAAAAAAAGATGAATACAATGGCACCCACCACCATGCCTTCATCGCTCTGCTGCGGCAACCCACCGCACAACAAAAGACACATCTATTCGCATGCCATTTACATCACACCGAAGTCGCCTGTCTCCACAAATCGAGCACAAAAACGAAAAAAAAAACCTACACACACAGCTACGTATCTCCACCTTCAAGGCCGTCAAATGCGCATTGTGTGGGTGCGGCTGCGTGATGATTGAAGACGGAGGAGTGCTGAGACGCCACTTATTCTCGTTCGTTCCCCGCGTTCCTCCCACTCTTCTCAGGTCCCACACAACGCACGCACACATAAAACACAGAGAGGAAAATACGGCTAGATTACATGTCCAGTAGCATGTCCCCTTCCATCTCGTCGGTCTCGCCCTCCTCGATCGCCTTCCCTGCGGCGCCAGTCGCGTCGTAGTCCTCGAAGCCCAGAAGGTTCTCTGAGAACGCGCGCGCAGTGATGGCGTCCTCGAGCATTTCAAGCCGCACACCGTCACCCAGCAAGGAACGCAGCGCGGCAGCAAGTTCCGTCTGCTGGAGCGGCTCCCCATGAGTACTGAGCAGCTTGAATAACACGTCGCGCGCGATTTGCCCCGTTGCGGGGTCGGCGCCAAGAGCAAGAAAAGCAGCCTCAATGTCTTTCCGTGTGATGCCGTAGATGGGACGGTAGTTTACGTACAGTCGCATGAACTGCGAGAACTTGAGCGGAATGCTTCCCACATCGCACTCCTCAACAGCTTCTTCCACAGGACCGTAGATATTGGCGACCTCGTACGTCAGGCGACCAATCTCGAGCTCGGACGGGTAGTAGCCGAGCGCGCGGAAGAGATTCGGCAGCTGCGAGAAGGGCACCGCCCCCAAGAGCTCACGTTTCGCCGTCGTCTCCTCACCTTGCAGGCGGATCTGAGCGTAGTAGAAATAATCAACAGTCTCCCGCATGAACTGCCCCTCACGTCCACCCTCGATAGCAGCAATGAGGTGATCGAGTGGAACCTCGCCGCTCCCTTCTGCTACTGTTGCCTTCATCAGCGTGGCCTCCTCTGGTGGCACAATCTTTTCCCCATTAACGCGCCACTGCATCACCGACTGATCATCTCCTCCTGCAGTGAAGACAAAGGCACCGTCGTGTGACCTCGCCACACTTGTGATGACGCCTGGATGAGCTAAGAGACCAGTTGACATGCACGGGTCACCCTCTAGTGGTAGCTGCATGAGACCAATCACCTTTTCACGTGTCGCGTAGAAAAGACACAAATCGTCGCTACCCGGTAGTGTTGGCACTGTGAACATCTCCGTCACAGGGCCACCGAATGTGGGCGACAATACCGACTTGATACACTGACGGCTCCAATCACTGAGGAAGGCGGTAATTTTGTATTCGTTTGTCGAAATAAGTAGCAGATCATTAGGTGATACATTCAAGGCCCCCTTTTCAATACGGCGGTTCATGTCCGAGACAACACCTGCTTCCTTGACCCAGAGCATTCCAGTTGGGGCGGTGCCCTGCGTGATTTTATGCGCACTCCGCACGAGTAGCCCAGCCTCCGCCTCCGAGTCGATCAAGTCATACTCTACGAGCCGCTGGTCCTCTCCAACAGAGAGCAGACGAGGTAGGCCGTTATCATCACCAAACTGCAGGCCAGAAATGGGTTGCCGATGGGTCTTATGACGACCCACAATGTCCCAATCCATTGGCTTTGCTGTGTTGCCCTGAGGGTGATCGAATTCATACAGACTCACACACCCAGCAAGGTCGCCAGCGGCTAGCCGCTTCCCATTATTTGCAAACACTAATCGTGTGATACAATCTGGACGCTTTGGTTTGATCGTCTTCCGCTCCTCCAGTGAGTCCGCGTCAAGGAATTTAACAACACCATTTGTGCAACCAAGAGCGAGGTAGACACCTGTCGGGTCGTATGCCATGCAGTGAATTTGTACATTGGCGAAGATGCTGAGTAGCCACACTCGCTTGGTGACGTAGTCCCATATATGCAAACTGCCACTATACCCAGCAATTGCGAGGCGCGAGAGTTTCGGGTGGGCGGCGATGCATTGAATACCCCTTTCCTGCCCTTGCACAATGAGCTTCCCATGCAGCAGCTCCGCGTTACCAGTGTGAAAGGACTTGGCCGCAACGTCGACAATCATTGCGTTGGCTGTCGATACCACAAAGTCTGGGGCCGAGAACTCCCCCACCGCCTTCGTCCCAGCCAGCGCCACCTTTTTCTGTGTTATAACTTCAAAGTCCCGCTGCACTTCCTCCACCGTCGCCGGCGCCGCTACGCTTGGTCGATCGAAGCTGATGGACGTGATGGCGCCACCATTGAGGTCCTCAAACCACGCCACGAGACGCAGTTTGGGGTCGAGGAACTTAACGTGTCCGTCAATGCCGCCCGTCACGATGTAGCCGCTCGACCACGTGACAAACGAGACACCGGCGGTATGCACCCGCACCATCTTGAGCATGGTCTTGTCCTGCACCTTCGTGACGCGATCGCGCGGCTGCACCTCCCATAAAATCACATCCCCATCAACCGTCCCGCTGCATGCCATGCTCGTGCCCGGAACGAATATTGTCTGTGTGAAGTTGCCCACCGCCACCTTCAAGTTCTTCGCGAGAATTGGCGGGGAGTAGTACTTCAACTCCCCTTCTGTCCATGACCAAAATAACACACGACGCAGTCCATTCGTCACGAGGAGATGCGGGTCATCCTCCGAGAAGCGAATAGATGTCTGCTCATCCTGCGCTGGCATCGCGCGGCGGTACTCAGGCGTAATGTTGTCGTTGAGCGCGATGTCCTCAACGGCCGCGTCGTAGTGTAGTCCGGGCTCATCCGCGTCCGCCTCAGCCGTCCAACCCCATAGCATAACCTCCTGTGGGGTGCGGCGGTTAAGAGTGGCGATGTACATGCCATCTAGGCTCATCGCACACGCCACAACCCCGCCATACAGCCCTATAGGTATTGTACATACAGGGATGCACGTCTGCGTGTCCCAAACAATCATGACGGAGCCGTCGTTGTCTGCGCCCTCATCGGTGGTGTGGCCATTCCTACTCTGGCCAACGCTCCCACCGCCACTGCGGCCCTCATGGCGGCTGCTCGGCGAAACAGACTCCTCTTCGCCCACGGTGGTGAACGTGGAGTTGAACACCCCACCCGCACCCGCGTCGGCCGTCACGATGAAGCGGCGGTTGCGACTGCACGCGGACGCAATGATCGTGTGGCGGTGACCCATCAGGTGACGCTGTGTGTTCTGCACCGCATCGTAAATGATGCCAATGTGTCCAATCGTGTAGAACACCACGCGCTCCGTGGTGGACGTGCTGAGGTTGTGGACGGCCGACTTGAAGTCCTTGTGCAGGCCGAAGGCCCACTCAAGGGCGAGGCTCTCGTGCGACGCCGCGGGCTCCCCCTGGCGCAGGATTCGACGGCAAAACGGCATGGCTTCTACTACCGTCTCAGCTGTAGTTGAGCGCAACTGCAAGCGATGCGGCAAAACAAAAACAAACGAGAAGGCAGAAAGAGGCACATCACATCAACAACAACAAAAAAAGACCACGTGACAAGTCGCGTATCGGAGTGTGTTTCACACAATCACGAGTGAAACACCCCCCGAACAAAGGGAGACCCCCCAAAGAAAAACAAACAAAAAAAACAACGTATGTCTTTTTCTCTGCATTCATTTAATATAGCGGAGCCATCGCATGTGTTCCTTTCTTCCCGTCCTTCGCATTCTCTCTTCCTCTCTCCCCCCCCCTCTCTCGCAAACATGCTCCCTACCGCTATTCTTAACGTTCTTAAAGATAATGTGGTTGCGCCTCCGTGTACCACCACCACCACCTCCTCCTCTGCTGTTGGGGCCACCCGCTCTCCCTCCCAGCGGTGCGGGAGGCAAGCAAGACGGCGACATCACCGACATCGCCACGACGTGGTAACAACCTCACAACACACACACACACACACACACACAGGCACACATACGCATAGAAACTGACACCGACACGACGTGGGCGACCAACAACAACAACAGAACACGCCTTTATTCGATACCGCTTCGCACCTCCAGATGGCTATACACACAACATCTCACAAAGCGACCGACATGGAAACAGACAGAGAGAAGAGGGCCTTTTTTTTGGGGTTTCTCGCCTTTCGCCACTACATCTCAACTGTTGTTCCTGTTCATCGGAATGCGGCCGTCTTACGTCCGACATTCGGGTGGCCGCCTTGTGATGGACCGTGGTGTGTCTTCTCCTTGGCCTCGTAGCGGCTGTGGCGCTCAATCTCCATCACGTGCTTGCGAAGGAGTGCCGCTGTGTACTTCATCATGAGGGCGTCCTTGTAGCCCTCGGTGATGAAGTCATCGCGGCTACTCTGCTGGTTTTTCTCTGCCAGAATCGTCTCGTAGCTCTTCACGACCAGCGCGCTCTCGTCCCGCTTCTCGCTATTGTTCTTGTTCCCCGATGCGATGATCGCCCGGGCGTGGGAGATAGCCTGGTGCAGTTTGCTCTGCACGTTGACCAGCGCCGCCTCCACTGGCTGCGTCTCCGTCTCCTTGCGACTGTCCTTCTTGGTGATATCCACCTCCTTGCACTCCGCCTCGAGTGCGACGCGGTCCAGATTAGTCACGCGGCTCGTCGCGTTCGGCATGCCACCGTCGTACAGTGCCTTGTGCATGATCTCCGCCAGCAGCACGTTCATCGCCTGCGTCTCCGCCTCCACTGTCACGGCTAGCTGGGACACACGTTCGCAGTGGAACGTCTCGCCGTCGTTGTAGTTGCGCGTGATGTGCGCCTCCCAGCGCACTGCGATGTCCTTCGCAGTCGGCATGCGGCACAGCAGCATCACCGCCTGGTTGTGCACGCGGATACGCGAGAAGCTCGCCCCTGGCGCCTGGCACCACACGTCGAACGCACGCTCCATGTCTGCCTCCGGTGCCCCCGCGGCGTACCAGCCGACAAGCGTGATGTTCGGTGTGTAGTACTTCTTCACCGCAACGCGCTCAGTGAGCTCCTCCGTGTACGCGCGTGAGCGGACGTCCGCCGTGGACTCATGCGTGCAGGGGATGTAGTCCGTGACGGTGATCTGGTGGGGGCTGCGGCTGCCGACAAGGTAGCCGGCGGAGTTGCGGCGACGCTTCGCGTGCTCCACGATGGCCGCAGCCACAAAGGGAGGAAGTACAAGTGTGCCCATCATCTTTCCTGTTTTTTTTTTTGCTTTCTCCTTGCGGCGTCGTCTTTTTCTGTTTCTCTCTCTCTCTCTCTCTCT